GCAGCGGGAGCTTGGCCCGGGACCGAGTGTACGGACCTGCAGCGGCGGTCAGAGCGATCCAGGCACCACGCTGGGCCGAAGCCAGAAACATTTTTCCATAGACCGTGGAAACAGCCCGAGGCGCTCCCAGCAGGGTTTTGCAACCCGAATGCAATGTTAAATTTCCGATTTCTCAAGGGAAGGGAAACTCTGCTGTTAAAATTGGGAAGGGAGGGCGGTGCGTGTCTGCGTGTTCGTCAGCTGAGCAGGCTGTGTTTCTCCCCACTTCAAATTATGCCAGATTCTGACTTTAAGAATAAACCGTGGGCATATTTGAGAATGTGGAATCTTGTCATTGCTCAGGCTCAAAGCAAAATAGGCACTAGTTAATCTCGATCATCGCCACGAGCAGAAATATATGTTTTATTCTTTTGTGTGACTGACACCGTTTGAGAGAAGAATGACGTGCTCTTACATACTGCAGGAAATTACCCTAACAAAGAAACCTCACTTAAATGTACAAGTCAGTCAAAAGTATCCTTTGAGTTCCTTGCAGTTTCATTATTCTTTTTAAAAACTATCTGCTTTCGGGAACCAGCAGTTAGCGTAATGGCTATGTCGCTGGACTCCCACGTAGTCGACCGCGGTTCGCGTCCTGGACCCGGTGGCTTAAAACTCACTCCGGGCGCGTGGGCGTGCGTCCCCAGGATCCCGGGCTCGCTTTCTGACTCTAATGTCTCTCTCTGTCTGGCGAGCGCATGCGCCCTATAGTGAAAATCTCTCCAAAAAAAAATTTTTTTTTAATTTAAAAACTATCTGCTTTCTTACATCATTTAAAGTCTGTTCAGAAGATTTCATTTGCCTGGGTATCAGGAATACCTCAGTTTATAAGAAAATTACAGTAACGTTGTACAAAGTCATAGTTTTAAAAAAAGGAGCCACGGTTTAATGAATAACTTTCTTTTAGACGATTTTTTTTCTATAGGGTGCGTGCAATTGCAAGAGAGACAGAGACAGAAAATGAGAAATCACCCCCCAGGGGGGACGGCTACATGCAATCCCTTCTCTTCCTTTCTCCTATCAGGATTTTGGGCACACTTGCACATGTGCCTGGCATGAGTTTCAAGCCACCAGGTCCAGGACTCAAACTGGAATGGACCATGTGGGAGTCTAGCTCCTTAACCACTATGCCACCTGCTGGCCTCATGAATAACTTTTTCCCCCCACTTTTAACTTAATGTTTTGACCTGGAAATTCTTATGTCGGGAGGTTCACCTCCATACAGAAGATAATAAATCCAGGCACGGCAGCTTTCACAGTCTATGAAGTTTTCTGGTGAAATGTTTCATTCTGAAAACATTCTTTGGCTCTATTTTATAATTTCTATAGTACTGTGAGGTGGACTAAGATTCATATATGATATTCCTTTTATTTTGTATAAGTATTTTGTATCACTTGTTGAAAAGCTACGAGTTACTGGGCAGATTTACTCTTCCATTATAGGATCGTTTATTGTGTTTTTCAGGGGAAAAAAAAAGAACTGAAGGGGTAAGTTTAAGGAAAGAAATTCTTTTTTGTTTTCATTTTAAAATATTTCCTCTACCTTAGCTTTTTCAACTTTAAAACAAAAGGTTTACATTTTATTGGGCAAGATTTTCCTCATGCACCCAACTTATAACTCCCGGTTATAAGAAGGCACTTTTAAAGTAATTGTCTTACTCGTCTGCCCCCTCCCAGTGCTCCATTTGCAATATCCATTATTTAGTTGGAAAAAGAAATTATTCACTGCAGCAAAGATTTGCCAAATGTTCATTTTGTGTAGAGTAGTGTTAGGATTGTGTTTGTGTGCATACGTGTGTGTGCGTGCGTGTGTGCATGCGTGTGTGCGTGTGTGCATACGTGTGTGTGCTTGCATGTGTGTGTGCGCACGTGCTGTGTGTGGGAGATGGGTTGGGGTGGGCTAGAGAGACAGCAGGAGAAATTGGACTACACAGCCCGAGCAAAATGATGTGGATGTATGAATGAGTGTGAGGAGAGATGAAAAATGTAATAAAACAGAGCTCAGTCCTGCTCTCTGCGGCCCATGAGCACCTGTTCTGCTCAGCACTCTACGGGGAGGAGTCCTGCCAGTCGGGGGCACGGCTCAGCACTCTTTCATTCAGCCTCCATCGGGCTGTCTTGGCACAGGTGCTCTCCCATCTTCCTGTGCGACCCTGAGTTAACCTGCTGTAGACTACTTCTCACCTAGAACCTTGCATTAGTCACCCAGCGCCTCAGAGCCGTGCAGGCTGCCTAGCACACTAGGTGTTCACTAGGAGCTTGCTGAGTGGATAAAGGCAGTATTCATCATGAAAGGGGCCTTCTTTAAACATTATATATGTTACCTCCTCATTAAAAATACTGACATATTTTAGGGATGCAAAGAAAGTTGTCCTCAGTTTTCCCCGATGTCTAAAGGGTACTCAGGATGGCATTTCCTTCATCTGTTTACTGGTTTTTATAATTTACAGAATTTAATATTTTATGTGCATGCATATATTTAAAATAGAAAAGTTTTGGTAACTGCGATATGAGTTGTGGCTCATTTAAATAAAAATAGCTAGTGTGACTACAATTTGCCGTTTTAGTTCATGTCGCTTATGTGAAAGGTTTAATCACTGCAGACACTAGTGGAAAGTTTGAAGCGCTCCACTGTCACTATTGTCTAGAGACGTGTCTCCCCTTATTTCAGTTTGGGGCACTGAAAATGTCTCTAATTTCAGTGGTTTCATATACATGTGTGCATGGATATGCACACACAGACACACATGCAGTGTCATACTCTATCCTGTATGTCTGAGGTCACTCATTTCTCTTATTTTAAAGCTGGGAAAATCAAACTATTGGGTTGCTGGAAAAGTCATGATGCATTTTTACATAGAAAAACGTAGAAAATATGCCACAACTTTTCCAACAACCCAATACTTTTTTTCCTAAGATTTAAAAAATTGATTAATTTACTCCATGGTCGAGAGACAGAAATACATAGAGACAGAGAGCCAGCCCCCCCAAGAGGATCTCCACACACGGTGCACCCCCAGCCTCAGTCATCCCCGATCATGGGCAAACACGTACTGAGGAGGAGGGGTCTCTGGATGTGAACCTGGAATCCTCTCTGTGGTCAGCCTCGAAGAGCATCGTGTTTTACCACTGCGCCGCTGTTAAGCCCCTGAACTTCTTTCGCAAGGATTGGTCAGGGGTATTACTCAGCATCCACAGTGTGTCGCAGACTCTCCCAAGCACCATCACTACCATGACAATAGTTTAGACTTTTTCCTTATCTCCATTAAAATCTAAGAGATTGGGAACCAGCAGTTAGCGTAATGGCTATGTTGCTGGACTCCCACGTAGTCGACAGCAGTTCGCATCCCGGACCCGGTGGCTTAAAACTCACGCAGGGCACGTGTGCGTGTGTGCCCAAGATCCCGAGAGGAGAATGGAGGAGAAGGGATTGCGGCGTGACCATCCCCCCCGGGGGGTGATTTCTCGCTTTCTGTCTCTATGTCTCTCTCTGTCTGTCTGTCTGGTGTGATGTTAATCTTGTTCAGCAAGCCACCAGGTCTTGGACTCAATCGCAGTTGGCCTTTTGGGAATCCAGCACCTTTAACCACCCTGCCACCTGCTGACTACCCAGTGTATGTGATTCTTAAAGTAAAAACCAAGAGGTGAATTGTGGTTTAAAAGCACCAGCAGCACTGCTGGCCAGGTAGCTGCCCTGTTCATGGTAATCTGGCCTACCTCTGAGGCTTGAAAGTTGATCGCGGGATGGTTTGTCACTGAGCAGAATGTCCAGCTGGTCTACGGTAAAAGCTTGAAAACATCTGCTGAGCATCCACCTAGGTGCCGGGCTAGGGCTCCTACACTTGGGAGCTGGCATCTGAATGGTGCATAAACTCAACAGCATTTAGGTCGCTGCATTTCTGCCCAAGGTTTTCATGCTGCCATATTTATTTAGCATCTGCAGTGGGGAAGTTTCCATGCCATCCGTGTGTTGTGGGAGTTAATGAGGTGAGCAAGAAGTAGTTCCTGCTCTTCTGTTAATATTTACAAATGAATAAGAGACTGGTGGGCTTCCCAGTTGCAGCGTAGAGCGGATTACGTCATGAAGCATAGACAGCGATAAACAAAGCATTGTGGGCATTCCGAAGAGGAGGACCACATCCCATTGAGTAGACCAGGGCTGGGGATGGCCTTGGTTCCACAGGAAACAACCCAAGTTTCAGGCCAGACTACGTGACCACACCAGGCAGCAGGCAGAGAACACGAGCTGTTGTAGATTAGGCGTTTTGAAGTTCTTACCCACATTGGCCTTCTCCTACCCAGACATTGTTTGCCACATGCATTTGAAAAGTGAGTTCTGTTACTGGAACACAAGCGAAGGCAGGACAGCGACGGCAGACTTCCACTGACCGCCATTGGCTGGCTGTGCACATGGAACTGCTCCGGCCCCAGGGGGCTTCTTAGAGGGTTAATAGATGAACAGGGGCAGATGAGAAAACTGTTTCCAGCTCAGTGCATTAACGTAGGCGGTCGCATGGTGTCCTCCTTGTCGCTAACCGGGGACCGTTTATTCCGCAGGGTTGTAAGATGGACTCGGAGCTCAGGGAGCACAACAGCACCCTCGCTGCGGAGAACGCCAGCGCCGCGCCGGGCCGGGCCGGCTTCCCGGTGTGGGAGGACTTCAGGGGCAGCGTGGACGACCTGCAGTACTTCCTGATCGGGCTCTACACGCTCGTCAGCCTCCTGGGCTTCGTGGGGAACCTCCTGATTTTAATGGCCCTGGTGAAGCGGCGGCACCAGCAGACCACGGTGAACTTCCTCATCGGGAACCTGGCCTTCTCCGACATCTTGGTGGTGCTCTTCTGCTCGCCCTTCACGCTGGCCTCGGTGCTGCTGGACCGCTGGCTGTTCGGCCGCGTGCTGTGCCACGTGGTGCCCTTCCTGCAGTGCGTGTCGGTGCTGGTGTCCACGCTGATCCTCATGGCCATCGCCGTGGTCCGCTACCACACGGTCAGGCGCCCGCTGTCCAGCAGCCTCACGGCCAACCACGGCTACTTCCTGATCGCCGCGGTGTGGACGCTGGGGCTGGCGCTGTGCGCCCCGCTGCCCGTGTTCCACCGCCTGGTGGAGCTGCGCGACACGGTGGGCGCGGTCGTGTGCGTGGAGGCCTGTCCGTCGTCCGCCTACAGGGTGGCCTTCACGCTGAGCCTGTTGCTGGCGCAGTACGTGCTCCCGCTGCTGTGCCTCACCGCCAGCCACGCCGGCCTCTGCAGGAGCCTGCGCTGCGGGCT